TTGATTAGCTCTAGTAGTTTTCTGGTAGCATCTTTAGGATTCTCTATGTATAGTATCATGTCATCTGCAAACAGTGACAGCTTTACTTCTTCTTTTCTGATTTGGATTCCTTTTATTTCCTTTTCTTCTCTGATTGCTGTGGCTAAAACTTCCAAAACTATGTTGAATAAGAGTGGTGAGAGTGGGCAACCTTGTCTTGTTCCCGATCTTAGTGGAAATGCTTTCAGTTTTTCACCATTGAGGATGATGTTGGCTGTGGGTTTGTCATATATGGCCTTTATTATGTTGAGGAAAGTTCCCTCTATGCCTACTTTCTGCAGGGTTTCTATCATAAATGGGTGTTGAATTTTGTCGAAAGCTTTTTCTGCATCTATTGAGATGATCATATGGTTTTTCTCCTTCAATTTATTGATATGGTGTATCACGTTGATTGATTTGCATATATTGAAGAATCCTTGCATTCCTGGAATAAACCCCACTTGATCATGATGTATGATCCGTTTAATGTGCTGTTGGATTCTGTTTGCTAGTATTTTATTGAGGATTTTTGCATCTATGTTCATCAGTGATATGGGACTATAGTTTTCTATCTTTGTGACATCCTTGTCTAGTTTTGGTATCAGGGTGATGGTGGCCTCGTAGAATGAGTTTGGGAGTGTTCCTACCTCTGCTGTATCTTGGAAGAGTTTGAGAAGGATAGGTGTTAGCTCTTCTGTAAATGTTTGATAGAATTCGCCTGTGAAGCCATCTGGTCCTGGGCTTTTGTTTGTTGGAAGATTTTTAATCACAGTGTCAATTTCAGTGCTTGTGATTGGTCTGTTCATATTTTCTATTTCTTCCTGATTCAGTCTTGGCAGGTTGTGCATTTCTAAGAATTTGTCCATTTCTTCCAGGTTGTCCATTTTATTGGCATAGAGTTCCTTGTAGTAATCTCTCATGACCTTTTGTATTTCTGTAGTGTCAATAGTTACTTCTCCTTTTTCATTTCTAAATCTATTGAGTCTTCTCCCTTTTTTTCTTGATGAGTCTGGCTAATGGTTTATCAATTTTGTTTATCTTCTCAAAGAACCAGCTTTTGGTTTTATTGATCTTTGCTATCATTTCCTTCATTTCTTTTTCATTTATTTCTGATTTGATTTTTATGATTTCTTTCCTTCTGCTAACTTTGGGATTTTTTTGTTCTTCTTCCTCTAATTGCTTTAGGTGCAAGGTTAGGTTGTTTATTCGACATGTTTCCTGTTTCTTAAGGTGGGAATGTATTGCTATAAACTTCCCTCTTAGAATTGCTTTTGCTGCACCCCATAGATTTTGCATCATCGTTTCTCCATTGTCATTTGTTTCTAGGTATTTTTTTATTTTCTCTTTGATTTCTTCAGTGATCACTTTGTTATTAAGCAGTGTATTGTTTAGCCTCCATGTGTTTGTATTTTTTACAGATCTTTTCCTATAATTGATATCTAGTCTCATAGCATTGTGGTCAGAAAAGATACTTGATACAATTTCAATTTTCTTAAATTTACCAAGGCTTGATTTGTGACCCAAGATATGATCTATCCTGGAGAATGTTCCATGAGCACTTGAGAAAAATGTGTATTCTGTTGTTTTTCGATGGAATGTCCTATAAATATTAATTAAGTCCATCTTGTTTAATGTATCATTTAAAGTTTGTGTTTCCTTATTTATTTTCATCTTGCATGATCTGTCCATTGGTGAAAGTGGGGTGTTAAAGTCTCCTAGTATGAATGTGTTACTGTCGATTTCCCCTTTTATGGCTGTTAGTATTTGCCTTATGTGTTAAGGTGCTCCTATGTTGGGTGCATAAATATTTACAATTGTTATATCTTCTTCTTGGATCGATCCCTTGATCATTATGTAGTGTCCTTCTTATCTCTTCTAATAGTCTTTATTTTAAAGTCTATTTTGTCTGATATGAGAATTGCTACTCCCACTTTCTTTTGGTTTCCATTTGCATGAAATATCTTTTTCCATCCCCTTACTTTCAGTCTGTATGTGTCTCTAGGTCTGAAGTGGGTCTCTTGTAGACAGCAAATATATGGGTCTTGTTTTTGTATCCATTCAGCCAATCTGTGTCTTTTGGTGGGAGCATTTAGTCCATTTACATTTAAAGTAATTATCGATATGTATGTTCCTATTCCCATTTTCTTAATTGTTTTGGGTTTGTTATTGTAGGTCTTTTTCTTCTCTTGTGTTTCTTGCCTAGAGAAGTTCCTTTAGCAGTTGTTGTAAAGCTGGTTTGATGGTGCTGAACTCTCTCAGCTTTTGCTTGTCTGTAAAGGTTTTAATTTCTCTATCAAATGTGAATGAGATTCTTGCTGGGTAGAGTAATCTTGGTTGCAGGATTTTCTCCTTTGTCACTTTAAATATGTCCTGCCAGTCCCTTCTGGCTTGCAGAGTTTCTGCTGAAAGATCAGCTTTTAACCTTATGGGGATTCCCTTGTGTGTTATTTGTTGTTTTTCCCTTGCTGCTTTTAATATGTTTTCTTTGTATTTAATTTTTGACAGTTTGGTTAATATGTGTCTTGGTGCATTTCTCCTTGGATTTATCCTGTATGGGACTCTCTGTGCTTCCTGGACTTGATTAACTATTTCCTTTCCCATATTAGGGAAGTTTTCAAGTATAATCTCTTCAAATATTTTCTCAGTCCCTTTCTTTTTCTCTTCTTCTTCTGGAACCCCTATTATTTGAATGTTGGTGCGTTTAATGTTGTCCCAGAGGTCTCTGAGACTGTCCTCAGTTCTTTTCATTCTTTTTTCTTTATTCTGCTCTGCAGTAGTTATTTCCAATATTTTATCTTCCAGGTCACTTATCCATTCTTCTGCCTCAGTTATTCTGCTATTGATCCCAAATAGAGTATTTTAAATTTCATTTATTGTGCTGTTCATCATTGTTTGCTTCATCTTTAGCTCTTCTAGGTCCTTGTTAAATGTTTCTTGCATTTTGTCTATTCTATTTTCAAGATTTTGGATCGTCTTTGCTATCATTATTCTGAATTCTTTTTCAGGTAGACTGCCTATTTCCTCTTCATTTGTTAGGTGTGGTGGGGTTTTATCTTGCTTCTTCATCTGCTGTTTTTCTGTATTCTCAGTTTGCTTATCTTACTGTGTTTGGGGTCTCCTTTTTGCAGGCTTCAGGTTCGTAGTTCCCATTGTTTTTGGTGTCTGTCCTCAGTGGCTAAGGTTGGTTCAGTGGATTGTGTAGGCTTCCGGGTGGAGGGGACTAGTGCCTGTGTTCTGGGGGATGAGGCTGGATCTTGTCTTTCTGGTGGGCAGGTCCATGTCTGGTGGTGTGTTTTGGGGTGACTGTGGACTTATTATGATTTTAGGCAGCCTCTCTGCTAATGGGTGGGATTGTGTTCCTGTCCTGCTAGTTGTTTGGCACAGGATGTCCAGCACTGTAGCTTGCTGGTCGTTGAGTGAAGCTGGGTGCTAGTGTTGAGATGGAGATCTCTGGGAGATTTTTGCCATTTGATATTATGTGGAGCTGGGAGGTCTCTTGTGGACCAGTGTCCTGAAGTTGGCTCTCCCACCTCAGAGGCACAGCACTGACTCCTGGCTGTAGCACCAAGAGCCTTTCATCCACACGGCTCAGAATAAAAGGGAGAAAAAGTAGAAAGAAAGAATTAGTATAAGTAGAAAGAAAGAAAGGAGGGAGGGAGGGAGGGAGGAAGGAAGGAAGGAAGGAGGGAAGGAGGGAAAAAAGAAAGAAAGAAGATAAAATAAAATAAAGTAAGATATAATATAATAAAGGTATTAAAATAAAAAAATAATTATTAAGAGAAAAAAAAAGAAAAAAAAAAGGACGGATAGAACCCTAGGACAAATGGTGGAAGCTAAGCTATACAGACAAAATCTCACACAGAAGCATACACATACATACTCACAAAAAGAGGAAAAGGGGAAAAAATCATAAATCTTGCTCTCAAAGTCCATCTCCTCAATTTGGGATGATTTGTTGTCTAAGTGAGGGAAGGAAGGAAGGAAGGAAGGAAGGAAGGAAGGAAAGAAAGAAAGAAAGAAAGAAAAAAGAAGATAAAGTAAAATAAAATTATTACAATAAAAAATAATTATTAAGAAAAAAATTAAAAAGAAAATAACAGAGAGATAGAACCCTAGGACAAATGGTGGAAGCAAAGCTATACAGACAAAATCTCACACAGAAGCATACACATACACACTCATAAAAAGAGGAAAAGGGGAAAAAAATCATAAATCTTGCTCTCAAAGTCCACCTCCTTAATGTGGGACGATTCGTTGTCTATTCATGTATTCCACAGATGCAGGGTACATCAAGTTGATTGTGGAGCTTTAATCCGCTGCTTCTGAGGCTTCTGGGAGACATTTCCCTTTCTCTTCTGTGTTCTCACAGCTCCCAGGGGCTCAGCTTTGGATTTGGCCCCGCCTCTGCGTGTAGGTCGTTGGAGGGCGTCTGTTCTTCGCTCAGACAAGACGGGGTTAAAGGAGCCGCTGATTCGAGGGCTCCGGCTCACTCAGGCCGGCGGGAGGGAGGGGCACGGAGGGCGGGGCGAGCATGTGGCGGCAGAGGCCGCCGTGACGTTGCACCAGCCTGAGGCGCGCCGTGCGTTCTTCCGGGGGAGTTGTCCCTGGATCCCGGGATCCTGGCAGTGGCGGGCTGCACAGGCTCCCAGGAGGGGAGGTGTGGATAGTGACCTGTGCTCGCACACAGGCTTCTTGGTGGCGGCAGCAGCAGCCTTAGCGTCTCCTGCCCGTCTCTGGGGTCTGCGCTTTTAGCCGCGGCTCGCGCCCGTCTCTGGAGCTCCTTTAAGCAGCGCTCGTAATCCCCTCTCCTCGCGCACCAGGAAACAAAGAGAGAAGAAAAAGTCTCTTGCCTCTTCGGCAGGTCCAGACTTTTCCCCGGACTCCCTCCCGGCTAGCCGTGGCGCACTAACCCCCTGCAGGCTGTGTTCACCCCGCCAACCCCAGTCCTCTCCCGGCGCTCCGACCGAAGCCCGAGCCTCAGCTCCCAGCCCCGCCCGCCCAGGCGGGTGAGCAGACAAACCTCTCGGCCTGGTGAGTGCCGGTCGGCCCTGACCCCCTGTGCGGGAATCTCTCCGCTTTTCCCTCCGCACCCCTGTTGCTGTGCTGTGCTGTGCTGTGCTGTGCTCTCCTCCGTGGCTCCGAAGCTTTCCCCCTCCGCCACCCGCAGTCTCCGCCCGCGAAGGGGCTTCCTAGTGTGTGGAAACGTTTCCTCCTTCACGGCTCCCTCCCACTGGTGCAGGCCCCGTCCCTATCCTTTTGTCTCTGTTTATTATTTTTTCTTTTGCCCTACCCATGTATGTGGGGTTTTTTTTGCCTTTTGGGAGGTCTGAGGTCTTCTGCTAGCGTTCAGTAGGTGTTCTGTAGGAGTTGTTCCACGTGTAGATGTATTTCTGGTGTATCTGTGGGGAGGAAGGTGATCTCCGCGTCTTACTCTTCCGCCATCTTCCCGGAAGCCTCTGAAAGCCTCTGTTGAGTGGTGGTTTTGGGCTAATGAAAGTCAGCCCAGGGCGCTCACTGACTGCGGAAACTGCTGAGATGCAGACATCAATAGGTTTAAGGGAGATGGGGTAGGGAAGTTCAAGGACAATACATCTGTAATAGGTCATTAAATCTTGAGTCTCTCTTAGCCCTAAACTTTGGCGGTCACTCTCTTGTACATTGTGGTCTCCCATGAACAAGCCTGTTGAAACCTTTGGAAGACATAGGACAGTGGGCTAGCAGGCTCATTTCCCATGTTCCTAGTGCTCTTAGGGGTTTGGGATGAGCACAGCTGGCTCAGGTCTCGGAAGAGTGCAGAGCTCTATGACACACTTACAGCAATGACAGCAAATGAAAGATGTGAGTCACTTTTTTTTTGCCATCGATTGGTACAACATGGTTTGGGTTTTTTTTTTTGCCAGATTTCACAACTTTATATTTTAGATTTACTCAGCATCTTATTTCTGAACGTCTTTGATGAGACTCAAGTTCTTAGGAAATTTATTCATCAGTCTATTTCATATAAATGACAATAGCAACAGCAATGCCTAGCGTTCTTAGATCATTTGCTGGGTGTATTGCATGTGTTATTTCATTTAATTATCCAACAGTCCTGTGAAAAAGGTATTATTATTATCATCTTCATTTTACAGATGGAGAAAGTGAGGCTTGGAGGGGTTAGGTCGTGTTTGGGGTCACACAGCAAGTACATGCTGGAGCTGATAGGAACCCAAGCAGTCTGGATCCGGAACCCCACTCCTTAACCATGACACTGCACTGCTGTTCTGAGAAGTGCCCTTCCTGAAGGGATGCCTTTCAAGGAGTGTTGGAAGGACATCATGGTTGGGAGTTTCATGATGTGCCACGCAAGGAGATCTCCATGTGAAGGATTGGGGAGAGGGCTTGTCCCTCTGAGTGAGGGTTTTGAAGCCCTTTCCTCTGTTCTCGGGTATGGGCAGATGTAACTGAGGTTGGGCCATCAGAAGAGGAGCAGCAGTTTAATTTGTTAACTGTTATACTGCCTAGATCAGGAAGGCAACACTCAGCTCTCATGAATATCATGCCTGGCAACACCTTTAGAACAAGGACAGACTCCCAGAGACTGACTGGGGGCTGCTAGAGCCCGTGAAATATCTGAGAGTGGGAAGTTCTGAAGTGGCCTTCTCCCCAGCAGAGGGGCTGGTGCCTTTGAGAGGGGACACCTGCCTGCAGGGGGCAGTGCAGGCCTGGCAGCAGCTGATCAGAGAGAGCAGCCCCGTTGCTGACCCTGCCTCTTTCACAGCCGAGGGCCTGGGGATGCTCACACGGGCTGCAGACTTCCTGGTGTGCACTTTTGCTAATCTTCACGACAAGGGCTACCAGATAAAATGCAAAATTTCCAGTGAAATTTGAATTTCGGATAAACAACGAATACCTTTTTAGAGTAAATATATCCTAAATATGGCAAGTCCCAATTATTACTTAAAAGTTTTTTTGTTTTTCATTTGAAATGGAAACTTAACTGGGTGTCCTGTGTTTTTATTCACTGAATCTGGCAACCTTACTATTTACAATAGGCAAGACATGGAAGCAACCTTAATGTCCATCAACAGAAAATGGATAAAGAAGATGTGATATATATGTGTGTGTGTGTGTGTATATATATATGTATATATATATATATATATATATATATATATAAAATGGAATACTACTCAATCATAAAAAAGAATGAAATAATGCCATTTGCAGCAACATTGATAGACCTAGAGATTATCATACTAAGTGAAGTAAGTCAGAAAAAGACAAATATCATGTGATATCACTTAAATGTGGAATCTAAAAAATGACAAAAGTAAACTTATTTATGAAAGAGAAACAGATTCACAGACATAAAAAACAAATTTATGGTTACCAAAGGGGAAAGGGGTTGGGGGAGGGATAAATTAGGAGTTGGGATTAGCAGATACAAACCACTATATATAAAATAGATAAACAACAAGGTAATACTGTATATAGCACAGGGAACGATATTCAGTACACTGTAATAATGCATAATGGAAAAGAATATGAAAAAGAATATATATATATATAAAACTGAATCACTATGTTGCACACCAGAAACTAACACAACACTGTAAATCAACTATACTTTGATAAAAAAAATTTAAAACAAATTTGGCAAACTTATCCATGCCATTGGTGAGTTTTTAAGTGGACAAAGTTATATTCTTTGTTCACAAATATTTGTTGGTTGTCAATTACGTGGCAGACACAGTCCTAGGGGCTGGGACGGATCAGTGAACAGATAAGCAAGGCCCTGCCTTCATGCAGCTTACATGATGGTGTATATGTATGTGTATATGGGGTGAGAAGGGAAAGACAAATAATAAACGTGTAGAAACCTGATGATGACAAATAGTGATGTGAGGGAAAATAAGAGGTGAAATCGAGGGTGACTCTGGGTGCCCAGGTGAGTGACTAATTTACTTGCCAGGGAAAGCCTCTTTGAGCTGAGATTTGTGAAAACCTGGAAGCAGAGTTTCAGGGACCTAGAAGAGGGAGGCAGGTAGAGGAGCAGAGGAAGGCCACAGCTGCTGAAGGGGAGTGACAGAGGCAGGAGAGGACGTGCAGGGAGATTGGACAGAGGGCAGAGATCCCACCATGTGCAGTGGGTCACAGGTCCAGGAAGGGAGGCCCTGCTGGCATCATGAGATTTACATTTTATAAAGACCTGCAGAGGAGATGGTCCAGGGGCAAGAGCAGAAGCAAGGGGACCTGACAAGGGGCGTTATTGCCGTGGTCCTGACGAGATGGTGGTGTTGGTGGGAGGTGGTGGGAGTGGCGGTGGAGAGAAGTGGATGCACTGGAGACACACTTCATGGTGCAACTGACAGGCCTTCCTGATGAATTGGAGGTGAGGGACCAGGGAAACAAAGGAACTCCGGAAGTACTCCTAGAAACACTCCTAGGTTTGGGGGAGCCACTTGGCCTTCTATTTTTTAGGGCAGTGCTTCCCAGTAGTTGTCATGTCTTGGCTTACCCAGAAGACAATATTTGTATTGAGATGTAGCCGGGAGGGGCTGGCCTCCGGGGCTCCAGCCACCCCAGGTCCCAGTGTCCACTGTGAGCACTGTCTCAGCGAGCCTGTAACCCACTCACGGCAGTTCACCCACTGGGAAGGTCTGCTTCCGGGGGGGAGAAGTTTCCAACTGGAGCCAAGTGTATGCTGCAGAGGGAGAGATGGAAATCAAGCTGTGGGAAGTGCAGTGAGCGTTCTCAGGACCACAGCACTCCCTCAAGCATGAGAAATAGAAGAGTTCAATATTTTGTAGTAACTGTCAGTGGAGTGCAACATTTAAAAATTATATTAAAAAAACCCAAAAAACATAACAACAACAACAACAAAAATAAAAGAGTTCTAGAATTCAGGGCTAGGGCAGATTTTAGAAATGACCTCATCCAACCCTCTCCTTTTTCTTTTTACACAAATATGTAAGACTAGGTTAAGGTCCTCATTCATTTATCTCATGTATAGAGTACTCCAGGTGTGTGCAGCTGTGCTAGTGCTGTGTGACAGTGCTACTCAAAGTGCGATCCTGGACTGGTACCCGGTCTGTGACCAGAGGATGCGGAAATGGAGGATAGGCCACTTTTAGGGCAATTTGATATCGAAGTATGTGATCATTGGACTTACAGTCTCTCTTTCTTTTTTAAAAACTAATTCATTTTCATTGTGTTTTACAAAAAGATTAGTACAGGATGGATTGAGGACCACAAAAACAATAACAACAACTTTTCCTGGGTTGGAAGCATGCGCCCCAGAGAATTACAGCTAATTCAGTCACGTGACCGTCAGGGCTGCCCTGCTCCCCTCACTTCCCTCCCATCTCCTTCCCTTCAGAAGCACTGAGACGGTCTCAGAGATTTAAGGAGCCCAGTTTTATTCTATATCCTCCTCCCTGATATGAAAAGAAGATGATTCTTCTTGTGGGCTTCAGCCTTTTGTTTTTCTGTTAAGTACACTCATTGTTATGTCCTGCTCGTTCTATCACCCGTTTCCCTTTTTCTTACTTTCCAAGGCTTGGGCTCTTTCTCAGTCACACTGGATTTTCCAGTTATTTTCTGCCTTTAATTTTCATCTCTGTGTCTTTCCCCTGCCTCTGCCCATTGGGTTCCCTCCGGATGGGCCTGTGCTGGACCCAGTGCCTGCGGAGTGTAAGACTTTACTGTTTTATTATTTTTTTCTCTTCACAGACAAGGACGTGCTGTGTAACCAAGTGACCCAGATTTCCCAGGAGCAGATACTGGTGAGTGGCAGTGAGGTGACACTACAATGCATTTTCCAAACCACATACTTAGATCCAGACTTATACTGGTACCAAATAAGACCAGATCGTTCCTTCTAGTTTGTCCTGCACAGGAATAACATTAAATCCCACGATGCGGATCTTGCTCGGGGTAGATTTTCCGTGCAGCACAGCCTGACCCACAAAACCTTCCACTTGGTGATCTCCTCAGTGAGGCCTGAAGACAGTGCCACTTACTACTGTGGCTTGCGGTCCCACGGTGATGCAGGTGTCCAGGAAGTCTGCACACAAACCCCTGGGCACAGCCTGGCAGAGCTGCCTCTCCGGACAGCTCATGTCCTTGGACACAGCATCCTTCTTCCCTGTCATTCTGTGGTCCAGTCTGGCCTTTAGAGGTGCCCTAACATGTCTTCCAAATAAGAAAAGGCCTGGTCACACCCAGGGGAGCACCCTGGCTTCCGATGGAGCAGACATCTCCCCACTTCTGACACAGAGGGCCCTGGCTGCCCGAGTGCCTGTGGTGGGGAAGGGAGACTGCACGTCTGAGAGACTCTGGTGCCCAGGTCGTGCCTGATACAGAGCAGGGCTTGACAAGGATGTGCTGCATGCGCTGGGAGCGTATCAGGACGGGGCTGGTGAAGGGCCAACTTCAGGAGAGCCTTTTGGAAGTGTCTTTATTTTAGTCTCCATCATTCATCCATTGCTGTGAATTAGCCTGTTTCCTTTTAAGACTCAAATTGTTTTTTTGTTTTTTTTGCGGTACGCGGGCCTCTC